AAAATCATGCAATGTACACGACTGACCTGGATGAGCTCTGACTCAGCCGTCGCCAGCCTGGTATTGAGGTTTCATTTTGCTTCCACTAAGGACCGTAAAGTACACTGATAGATAAGTTGAGGATGATGCTCGGCTATTTGGCTAAGCAAAGAGGAAACATCCTACAAGACATTAAGTTAGCTACTATTCCAGAGCATGTAAAGTTAAATGAACCAGTAAGGAATGGAGACTTTGAGCATGGAGCAGAATAAGTGAGAGGAGTGAACAATGAGGGACGGTGCAGCAAGCACACATTCGCAGACTTTAAGTGCGGAGTTTAAACTCTGTGTAACAGCAAATAAACTGTAAGCAATACCAGCTTGCTTGCTCAATATGCTCACTGGCAGGTCAACATCCTTGTGTTTCACTGAATGCATCAATATCTCTGATGAGATTTATTGGCCAACAGCTTGGAATGCTGTGCAAGCATGCATGGAGGCTCCAGAAGCAGTCAGAAAAGATTGATATAACACGTTGTACTTGACAGAAGTATGTGCACTCACCCCTTCACATTTTTACCATAGCTGGCTACGTCCTTGTAGACATCCGTCAGCAAGTAGCCAAACCTACCACCCGAGTATACAAAGACTGGTATGTGCAACCCAATGGCCAAGTCACGGTCAGAAAGACGCTGGAGCTTGTTGTGCCACTCAATGAGGTCTCTTTGGTGTGTAAAGCATTGCATTTGATACTTAGCATATTATTAATGGTCTATCTAGGTTGTACTCAATGATAAGATTTCTTGTGCCCTTTGCTTCCTTTGTATCTTCGCACCAGGCATTGCCCCAAGATGGAAGAACATTCTCCTCTATCTTAGCCATTCTGACTGTGCGCAAGCGGTCTCTGACACCCTTTGGCCTCAGCTACAAGTTCTCTCAGACAATTTGCGAGCAGCACTTGATCTTCCGCTGTTGGCTGTAGAAGTAAGTATTCATACCATGCTTATCTTCCAAGACCCAAACTCAAGCTTTGACAGGACCCTCTTGTTGAATCTGCGCCTCTATCAGATCCTGTTCAACATTAACAGGGTGATGATCTTTGTGATGAGCCTGTGTCTGAGAAGACTGCCATTCACTCAGCACAGGGGACTGCTGTTGAAAGAGTTACAGAGGCTGTTGCAGAGATGGAGCTAACAGATGGAGCTGCTGACACATTTGAAGAGGACTTTTTTGACTCAAACAGCACTCATAGTAGTATGCCTCGCCTTGCAACACTATTGGAGCAGTCAGACTCCGACTTCTGATCCATGTAGCATTTGAAATATTATGTATTCAATGATGATGTTGACTATGTAACCTCTCTGTGTGCTCCTTTCAAGTAAGACAACAATAACCTGTGAGTGATCCATATACTCACAGGTACATGACCTGCAGGTTCAGATGATCTGTGGGAACAGATCTGTGTGGCTCTGGGTGAGAGTCTTCAAATGCTGGGTATCTGCCACCACAGCTCCAGATCGAGCTGTGAGTGGACTTGTGCTAGGCTTTGCATTCAAAGACCTTGTCTGCAAGCAAGAGATGCAGTCCAGAGGTAATAGCAGCTGTAAGAGTGCATGGTAGACCAAGCATTTGAGTCACTAGCTGCTGCACATCGCCAAACTCCTTGAAAATTCTGCGCCAGCCATAGAGACTCGTTTGAAAAACAGAGAAAATTGCGCAGATGTCATCAGAGTGCCAGCCTTTCTTTCAAAGTTGTAGGGCACACTTCTTGAGGTCAGAGCTAATCCTGCAGCACACCATAGCAAGGTCAAGGAATGGAGACAAGTGTTTGCCAATTGCCAGTGAGCAGCCCAGCTCAACGGTCAAATGGCACTAACTATAGACACTACTATACAGAGAAGTTCCATTTTGAGAACCAGGTGAAATTTTGCACAAGACTTCTCAATTATTTCTGAAATGACTGTAACAGGCTAGATTAATGACATGTTGCTTTTAAGGACCCAGGTCTCTGGATATGCCACTGGCTTTCCCAAATTCCAGTATCAGGCTGTCGGCCACTAGTCAAAGGCTGCCAGACTGTGATGGGACCTCTGCTTTTCCAAGAGATCAAAGCCTCCTGGTCTGGAGTTTGTCATTGGGAAGTTCCACTGTCG